CCATCTGTTGTGAGAATTGTTTCCCTGGGGATACTAAGCAATGCTTATTCCCTTTTAAGGTTCTAGTGTCAAGCCAATGTTTGATTAAAGTTTTCCTGGGGACCCGATGAATTTACTGAGCTTACTTACCAAGATAACTGGGGTTGCTGAGGTGTATATATGACCTGAGGGTATGCACACTGGAAAGCCTTTACCCAGCATGGGTCATATCTTCTCTTCCTAGCCTTCCCCAGATTGTATACTTTAGCCCTCCCCAAATCCAGGAGACCATGTGTGATTAGGGCCAAATTACATACAGTTGGCTGGGAAGAGTGGCTGGATACTCTGGTGAGGGTCCAATGACCTTGCTTGGCCCTCCTTTAATGAATGAGCACAACTGTCAACAAGCCCTTTGTGATGATGTTTAGCGATCAGGCACAGCTGAAGTCGTGATGATGGTAGTTATTTCATGTAGAAGGGACTGCTCCAAATTTGCATTCTTTAAATATGTCTAATGATACTCAGAAATCTGTTACTTAACTAAATCTAGATTTGGTGAATAGTCATCATAAATGAGATCTTGGCTTTCAGAAGAGAAGTTTGGTAAGATCTGGCTGACTCATCACTGTGACCTTGGCCCTCACCTACTTGAGGCCTTTCCATCTGACACATCAGTGTTTTTCCAAATGTAGTCCCAGTACAGCCAACAATGAATCACTGGTGACACCTATTATAAAGAAGTAAAGTCCACGAGGTACAGAAGTCTGTGTGCTTTGACCATGAACACCAGGCTAGCACCGCATCTCAGGACACGCTCTGCACTGAAGGGTCTGAAGCCACCAAGCAGTCCACCCCTCCATGGCTCAGTGGTAGAATGGAGCCTGAGCCAGGAGCTGAATTTATCAGGAGGCCTGATTGCAATGATGGATGCTTCAGCTTAAGAGGAAACAAGTCCTCACACCAAAGGTGTCAGGGAGTCGAGGCTACAAATACTTTTGAGAACCAAAGTCACCATGAGGCAATTCAAAGTAATTTCTTTTCTTCTTTTTTTTGAGAAAGAGTTTTGCTATTCAGCCCAGGATGGCTATGAGTTTGTGATCTTCCTGCCTCCCAAGTCCTATGATTACAAATATGCACTACCATGCCTGGCAAGTAATTTGATTCCTTTTTTTTTAACTGAAAAGAACTTCATCGAACAGTAATAGTTTACAAATGTACGTACCCTTTGATCCTGCAATTCTGTTTCTGGGAATTTATTCTACAGATACATTTTACAATTGTACAAATATACATGATTATTCTTTGTAGAAGTAACTGTAATAGCAAAATATCAGAACGAACCAAAAATGCCATCATTTGTGGAACCACTGAAATAAATGATGGCACATTTATACAGTGAGAAAGAGTGAGACGGTGTGAGCATTGTTATAGGAATGTCTCCAAGACAGAATATTAAGGAGAAAAGCCAGCTGCGGAACATGAGTGCAGCATGCTGCATTTGTGTACAAAAGGGAGACCTAGAGCCTCATTTCCTGTTTGTAGTACTTTTGTAAGAAATGCTCTATGTGAGAAGCGATTACTTCTGCATTGTGGCATGGGCACTGGGCAGATGGGGAGCAAGCTGGGGAGGGAGGTCTATGTATATGATTACACTTTATGGCCTGGAACCATGTGAATGTATTATATGTTTTTTAAAAATAAAAATACAATAAAATTAAAAATAAGCATTTATTTGGTTTTCAGAGTAAGAAATTTGGTTCTGGCTCTCCACATCTGATTGCCTTAGTGTCACCTGGTTGTCCTGGTGGCCCATTCGGGTTGGGTGCTGTTGCAGAGGCCACGGACTTTCCTGGTGTCTGGTTAGATAGTTCACTCTAGATCAGAATTTGGATTTCTGATGTCCGAAGCCACAGTGGGAAGACCAGCCTTAGAGTTTCCCATTGGGTAGAAGCAGCTCCCGCAGGTTCTGGGATTTGGGTTCCCTGTGCTCAGAGCAGCTTCCAGAAAGAAGGGGTCCAGCGAAGGTTTAATAGGATGGCATCAGCTGTTCCCGGCTCACAAAGGAGGAGTGGTGGTAGCGATCACGAGTGGCGAAGTCTGCGTTCTCCTGAGTAAGCTGCGTCATTGCCATGTCAACCCTGGCTGGGGATGGTGCCAAAATGATCTGCTCCTTGGGGGATCGCAGGCTCCTTCAGCGAGAGAGACACAGGACGATGAGAAGGCAAGAAGGAACAGGGACTGCACAGGGAAAACCAGTGCTCTTAAGCAGTGAGCCATCCCTTCAGCCCGTTCATTTTTTTTTTTTTTTTTTTTTTTTTTTAAGTAGGTGAAGCCACACATTCTTCTGAATTCAGGGAAATGCTATGCAGTACTTGGCTCCCTAGAATAGCTACAGACCCTCATCTGCATAGCTGTAGGGTTTCAGGGAAGAGTCTTCTCAAGGTCAGGGTTAACATCACATAGTATCTGTGAGTTGGTATAACAGAGGATGTAGCTACATCCTTCAGTGCAAACATACTTAGCTATGCTATTATCCTTTGGTTTTGAAGGACATTTGGGGAAACCATAAAACTATAAGGCAGAAAACAGGTACCAATTTCTATTCTTTTTTTTTCTTCTGTCTTTTTGAGACAGGGTCTCCCTGTAGTCCCAGCTGACCTGAACTCACTATGTAGACCAGGATGGCCTTGAACTCACAATGATCTGCCTGCCTCTGCCTCCTGAGTGCTGGGATTAAAGGCGTGCGCCACCACACCTGGCTCCAATTTCTATTCTTAAATGACTCAACTTCTCTAGGTTCTATTCTCCTCCTGAACAACCATCACAAAACATCTCCAGGAGCCACAGCAAGGCCAGCTAATTTGATGCTGACTTGGCCGAGGCTGCACAAGCCACTTCACTAGCCCAGAGCCTCTGACTGAGAAAGGAACCACATGCACTGACTTCTGTCCCAACCAACGACCATCTTTTCCTATGACTATTCTCCTCCTAATGCACTGCTATGACCTCTCAGCTGACATCCCAGGAATTCGGAATACAGCAGAAGAAATGGTGACCTCCAGGGCCATTTTTTAGGCTTTAAAACCAGAAATGACTAACTGCTTTCTTGTAAATCAGACCATCCTCATCCACACACCATTTGCAGCTCAAGAATTTGTAGGTAGCTTCTACACCAAGCTTATTTCCACTTAAACTACTTTCCCTCAGGACTAGGTTGTAGAGAAAAGGGATCAGTACAACTGTGCTGTGACCTGAGTCACTTAGCTTCATGCCTCAAACAGGACGAGAGGCAGAGAGAACACCCTACACTTACCTCAGCTTCAAGGAGGATACACAGCAGTCGGCGACGCAGCTGACTGACAGAGTTCGCCCCCTGCCACTCTCCATTCCTGGGCCACCAGGTCCCTGGCTCCTCCCTGTTCATTTCTACACCCCTACTCCTTTTTCTTTGTCAAGGTCTAACACCAAGTGTTTGCTCCTGGGCAGTACTTGCAAAGAGCTGTCTCAAAAAGGATGCTGGGGAATGCAGAGTTATCCAACAGGTATGGAGTTTCAGTTAGGGGAGCTGAAAAAGTGCTGCAGATGTGGTGATGGTGCTTGTGGTGGTGATATTATTATATTTGATTCTATGAATGTACATTTCAACATGATTAAGATGATAAATTTTGTGAGGTGTATTTTACCACAATAAAAAAGACAAGGGTGAAAACACAAAGAGAGAAAAAGTTCTAAGCTCACATCTGGGGTTTGATGGGAGAGAGTCCTAAAATTCATTAGCAATGTCTAGGTGTGGAAGGTGGAGCTATTGGCAAGTTCAAACCAGACCTCTCATGTTTCAAAAACAAACCAACAAAATAAAACCAAACAAACCTTTCACCGCATTCTGCTTGGGTTTGCCCAGCCTGCAGCTTTGGCTCCTCAGTGAAAGAGGACAGATGGCTGGAGTGGTTTCCCAGACCCTGAGGCCTTAAAGGATAAGGCTCTGGCTTCTTACAAGGTGGGAAGGAAAGATTAGGGTTACGTAAAACATTCCCTTCTGTGTGAGACTCTCCTTCCTGTGTATCTTAGCATGGAAGTCCCACAGCGATCTTCTGGGCCTCTAGTTTATGTCTGTACTTGGCTTCTGCAGTGTCACCAATAACAATGATGCCAGCTACCTCTGTGATGAGAAACAGGAGTTGCAGTTTCACATTTCCTTTGGCTTTGATCTTGTGAATGACTAGGTATTGGTGGGAATGTGTCTTAGCCTATAAACTCACTGAAATCAGCTCTGGTGACCCATCACCCAGCAATCAGAATCCAGATGAAGCCTCAGTTCATGAAAACTGAGAAGGGGAAGGGGACATGAGCCTGTGGGAGCTTCTGATGAGCTGAAGCAGCATACTGGGGGTGGCAGAGGGTAGGGAGGAGCAAAGGCAGCCCTCTGGAGGTTCTCCATTGTCAGGTTCCCACACCACAGTAAAGGCCCAAGCACAGACAGGAATGGGAAACCCTCAGCACTTCCCAAGACTCTGGGACACTCATCCATCCTGGTACCAGTCCCAAATTGGCACAAACCTGCAGGAGGGGATCAGAAGAGATTTCATCCATCGGAAAAAGCTGAAGTTAGATGCTGATCCTGTGGGGAGGACATGGGCATAAATATTTATGAAGACTTATTACACAGGCATCTAGAACCCCAACTTTAGGAGGATGCATGCACACCCCAACACATACTCACAATGTGCATGCATGAGCAGACACATGCAATGAACACAAATACTTTTACAGCCCAACCAAACAACATTAATTATAATATTCTTGACAGTAGCCTGCTAAGCACAGTGTGCCCATGTATAGTTTCCAAAAACTTATTTCTAAACTCCAAATATCTGAAGAGGGAGGATGTGGATGGAGTACCGTAAAAAAAAGAAAAGGGGACTTGCCAACTTCTGTCTTAGGAATTTAAAAATGTTTCTGTAGTATTTATTCCTAGATTCACACCTGTGTGTTGAATGCATGCTGTGAAATCTCTCCACTAGACCACATAATTCTCTGAGAATGGGGAACATGTTTTTTTTTTCCACCCTTAAAGCCCTTACCTCATCTAGCACTTAGAAAGTTTTCAAAAGGCGTTATGTGAACAAAAGAGTTCAATATGCAGTAATATTAGAGCTTAAGTTTGAAGTGAGGTTGTTGATATTGACCAACTAATCTTTTTATAAGACACACTGAACTGGATAGAGTTCAACCTTTAAAATAAATATATCAGTCAGGCATAGTGCTTGGGAAGCTGAAGCAGGAGAATTGCGTTGAGTTTGAGGCCACTCTGGGCCACATAGTGAATGTCAGACCAGCTCTGTTTTTAGCTTAAATGTTAAGGTTTATTATGTTTACTTGATGAGTTTCCCCCTAACCTTTATTAAGTTATCCTCTTTATTGTTGGTAATAGTGTTTTCTCTGAAATCTGTCAGACGTTAATGTAGCCACTTCAACTTTATTTTGATTAGTGTTAGGCTGGTGTGTATTTTCACATCCTTTTATTTTTAGCCTATTTCTGTGTTTATACTGAAAACAGATTTCTTCAGCTGTGGATGTATGTTTGGGGTAAAGCACTTGCCTAGTGTGTATAAGCCTGGGTCTGCTCTTTAGTGCTACAAAAATAAATTAACTAATTAAAAGAAGGTTCTTGTAGGTAGCATATAGTTGGATCTCACTTTTTTCTTCAACTGACAATCTTTTCCACTTAATCGAGGATGCTTAGGCTGTCTGTATTTACTGTGATATTCAGTATAGGTAGCCTTACATAAATCACTTTTGTTTTTTGTTTGGCTCAGGCTGGTTTTGAACTTGCTATCCTCCTGCCTTTGCCTCCCAAGTACTGGGGTTACTGGCACACACCATAATGTCATGTATGCTTTATTATTATTATAAGTACCTTTTATTATCTTTTTGCCCTTTTGTCATACTTTGATGCATTAGATTTTTAAAAATAATTTATTGAGAATTTCATAGAAGCATATAAGGTGTTTTGATCAAATCCATGCCCACTCCCTCCCCTCCAACTCCTCCCATATCTCCCCATCACTTTTTTCTGATAACTTCATGTACTCTTCTTTATTTTCTTTTATGGGGCTTTTGCTACTCTAACATTCCCCCTCTGAAAAGGTAGCCCTACAATCTTTTAAGGATTAGATAAGAGCTCCCAAATACTTCAGACATTTTTGGCCTTTGGAACGGAGTATGTTGCTAAGAGGCCCAAGGACATTTTGACTTTTAGCCAAGAAGCTGGCAACTTTTCTTTGGAGTCTTTTTACACTAACTGCCTAGCCAATTCCTATCTCCTATTCTTTTTTCTTTAAATTTTATTTATTTATTTTATTTTATGTGTATGCATGTATTGCCTGCATATAGATAAGTGCACCCGAGTGGTGCAATGCCTGTGGAGGAAAGAAGAGGCTGTCAGATTCCCTGGAACCGGAGTTAAGGACAGTTGCTAGCTGCATGTGGGTCCTGACATTCGAACCCAGGTCTTCTGCAAGAACCAGTGTTCTTAATGCTCTGGCTTCTTCCATGCTGAACAGGGACGCAGGGTGAGGCAATTAGGGTACCCCTTCAGTGGGTCTATCTAAAAGACTCCCAAATTGCATAACTCTTATCTGTAGGGGGAAAAGAAAGTCCTTGACTGAATAGGAGATGTGAAGGAGGAGTAAAGGCAAGAGTAATTAGCATTACAAGTTCCAGACAGGGAACTTGAAAAAAGTCAGAACAGGGCAAATTTTAAATATTCGTATGAGAGTCCTTTGGAATTTCTTGATGAGAGCTTCCAAAAGCATCCCTCTGTTGGGTTTCTCCTCATTTTTCTTTTGTCTGCCAAGACTAGACTTGAGAGTGATGGATTCAGGATCTGCTCTCAGGCATTTTGATAGCTGAACTTTTTAAAAAAATTTAAAGTTATATATATTTGTGTGTGCGTGCGTAACACGTACATATGCCTGTTGTGGTGCTCTTCTAGAAGTCAGAGGACAATATACAGGAGTCAGTTCCCTCTTTCTACCATGTGGTCCCAAGGATTAAACTCGGGTTGTTAGGCTTGGCAGCAAGTGCCTTTACCTACTGAGTTATCTCGCCAGCACTTGATGCTTTTTTTTTTCATTGAATTTTTATATCCTTTACTGACTTATTAGCTATAACTCTTCACATATTACTGAGTAGTTGGTAAAGTCTTTATAATATGTATCTTAAACTTACCACAATCTATCTTCAAATGATATCATAGCATTCACATATAGCATAGGAAATTTCTAACAGTATGCTACACCAATACTTAATTTAACAAAATATGTTATCTCTGAGGGCTCTTATACTACTGTTGTTATCTGTTTTACTTCTACAGGTTTTATAAATCTCAAATTAATTGCTATTGTCTTTCATTTACTATCATTTATGTGTGTCATATTTCTTAGCACAAAGTTTTTCAGTGAAAGCTAGAAAAAATAAGGGAAAAAGCTCAGCCACTTACCAAGGTAAAGACCTGGACTGGCCTGGCCAATGTAGAAATACACAATGGCAGCAGCACCCATGCTAATCAGGGTATAGACCCACTGGATCACAAACATGATGAGAAGGGATCCAATAGCCTGTGGAAACCAAGTAGGAGGGGTAAGACATCCAGTGGTTTTGCACAGGGTAATCAAACATAAGACTAGGGCCTTAAGAATCAATGGACTTTTATCAATTACTCATAATTCAAAAATCTTACTGTCATGGTTGATTGCTAACTTGACAGGATCTGGAAGCACCCAGGAGACAAGCCTCCAGGCATACCTATGAGGGATTATTTAGATTATGTTAGCCTCTGGGCATGCCTGTGAGAGATTAGGTTGAGGTGTAAGACCCACCTTAAAGGAGGATGACACTGTTCCCTGGGCTTAAGTCTTCATCTACATCAAGAGGAGGAAGCTAGCTGAGTATAGGCATTCATCTTCCTCTACTTTCTGATTGTGGATGCAACATGACCAGTTGCCTCAAGCTCCTGCTACCAGGAGTTCCCTGCCGTGATGGACTGCACTATGTCAAACTATGTCAAACTATGCCTTTTCCTCTTAAGATGCTTTTGTCAGAGTATTTTATAATAGCAATGAGAAAAGTAATACTGAAAATTAGTACCAGAAGTAGGATTGTTGCTGTGATGAACCTGAACTATTTGCAGGTGGAAGGCAGGCGAGCTTAGTACTTTGTGCTGATAAAGTCCTTGAAGGCAGCAAGCAGAGATTTTAATGACCCATTCTGGAGGAAGCTTCAAATGCCAATAGAAATGTGGAGACCTGGCTCATGAGGTTTCAGAGGGGAACAAAGGCTCTATCAGGAACTGGGATGGGGCCATTTATGTGATATTTTTGTCAAGGCTCTGGCTTCTTTCTACCCACATCCTAGGGACTTGAATGGAGTTGCATTTAAAGATAATGGATTAATTTCTTTGGTGCAGGAAATTTCAAGATAGGAAAGTATTCGGCCTGTGGCATGGCTACTTTTTACTGTAATTATTCATGTCTATGGTGAAAAAGCACAAAAAAATGGGCAGAAAGATAAAAATAATTTGTGGTTTATCAAGGAGGAAAAGAGTTTGAGTAAGTTAAACTTTGTGACCCAGATGTATGCTGAAAAAGAGGTTGTAATTGTTAAAGGAAACATTCTGCTTTATAATGGGACAACAGGAAAAAATGTCCTAAGGGTGAGACTCCACCCATCAAAAGCTCTATTTTGTGAAAATACAAATTTGTATTGAAATATACAAATATATTGGGCCCTGAAGGGGTTTCCTGCTCTTCAGAAGCATCTGGTTAGAGAAGTGTTTCTTCAGGGTCAGCACCTAGAAGCTGTTGCAACTCTGGCCCAAGGAGGCCAGCTTCCATCCTGAGTTGGCAGCAGAACTTGGTAGTAGCATCTACGTGCTGCTGGTTTTGTAGGCATGAAGGATGCAAGATTCAGTAAGTGGGTCATGAAGTCCTGCACCACAGTTTCAGAACACCACTGAGGCCAGGCAATGTGTGGCAGAATTGGAGTCCCTGCAAGGAAGTCTTAAGAGGCCACAATGTGAGGCTGTGAAAGTGAAGCCTAAGTTACAATGGAAGACCTCAGGTTATCGGAGATGCCAGGGCCATGGGACATCTGCCGAGGAAAGCTGCAAGCATGGAGTATGGCATGCCCAAGAGAAAGGCTATATGTGCCACAGGGAGCAGAGCTGGATGGGTGGACTATCCAAGCTCTTTTGGGCCCAGGTGATTCTATCATAAACCCAGGTGCTGGACATGAGCTTCAGAATTTGGTGTTTGCCTTGGTGGGTTTTTGTCTTACTTTGGTCTGATCATTTGTTATGCCCCCATATTTCACTTTTGTAATGGGAATGTTTATTCTTTGCCATTGTATATTGGAAGTACATAACTTCCTAATTTTGTTGGAGCTCACAGTTACTTATGAGACTGCAGGGAGTCTCAGATGTGATTTGGACTTTTAGATTTTAAATAATATTGAAACTGCTAAAGACTCTGGGGACTCTTCAAGTTGAACTGAAGACATCATGCATTATGAGATGGCCATGAGTCTTAGAGGACCAGGAGCAGAAGGCTATGTATTAAAAGCTATTGGTTTGGTTGTTAAGTTGACAAGGGATGGATATGTGATGGCTAGTGTTGCTTGTCAACTTGATATGCAGGATCTTGAATCTTGATTATAGATTCTGGAATGAAAAATGCAAGTAGTATACTTAAGTAAACAGACTATCTGTCTTGGCAAATTTTCCTGTTGCCATGATAAAATATCCTGACAAAGCAGTTTAAGGGAAGAGAGTTTATTTTGGGTCACAGTTATAGTCTATCATGGAAATCACAGTGGCAGGACTTGAGGAAAGTGGTCACACTACACCCACAGTCAAGTAGCTCAGCTCACTTTCTCCTTTTTATATAGTCCAGGATCACAGCCCAAGGAATGGTGCCACCCACAACAAGAGGTTCTTCCTACCTCGATCAAGATAATACCCCCTAGGCATGCCCAGAGGCCCATCTCCTGGGCGATTCTAGCTCTGAACAAGTTGACAGCCGAGGTTAACCATCACACTACCTTAGTCCCGTGTCCTATGTCTTCCTAAAATCAACAAACCACCATGAAATTAGTAACCAGAAGTTATAAGATGATTCTTTAAATAGTAGACAATTGATTAAAGCTAGTGATTAATTAAATATAAATTTTGGCATAGTAGTCTCATCTTAAAAAAAGCAAGCAATTTAATTATGTTGCTCCTATTTAAGCCTTTTCCTTCTCCAAATCACACACACCTCCACCTGGATTATTTCTTAAGGACAACTGAGATTAAGATGGTTACTCACCCCTAACAGGGAGACCCAGGGATTGCACATGCGAGAGTAGAAAGAAGTTGGTCTCCTCTGGACCTCTTGTTCCTGAAGTCTGTACTTCAGGAAGAAATCTAAAAAATGAGTTAGCCAAACCGTTAGTCACCAATTTATTATTAAATCCTCAACTGTTTTTTATGACCAAATACCTATGCACTCTCCTCTCCCAACGTTTTTTGATTTATTTATTTTTATTTTATGTGCATAAGTGTTTTGCCAACTTGTACGTTAAGTGCACTCATATCATATAATGCCCATGGAGGCCAGAAGAGGGAGTCATCTCCCCCTGGAACTGGAGTTGTGCATGGTTGTTAGCTGCCATGTGGGTGCTGTGAACTGAACCCAGGTCCTGTGCAAGAGCAGCCAGTGCTCTTAACTACTGAGCCATCTCTCTAGCCCCATTTCCCTAATTTTGTAACAGTCTAGATATAATTCCTAGCACTTGCTCTCAGAGAAGAAAGAAAGAAGGCTTATGGCTTCCTGTCAGCCAAAGATCTGAAATGATGGGAAGAAGGGCCAGGATACAAGTAGAAGCTTACCTAAAACCCACAGTACATCTGAACTGTCATCTGGGGGCACCGGAAATTTAGAACTTCTCTTGGAAGGGAGCAGAATGGGAGAACGGCACATGTGGTGTTTGGGGCCTCAGGAATGACTACTGGAACTGATGGGTCAGGCAGGCTGGCTTTTGTCTACAGTAGGATAGGTTTTGCTCCATCTAACTGTAAGTCACTCAGGTTAGGCTAGACCCAGGTATGGACCAAAAGCTAATGAAGGAGACAGAGGCAGGGCAAATGCTCTCCTTACTTCTTCCTTTGGCAGTTAAAGAGGCTGAGAGGGAAAAAAAAGCCTGACCATAAACGCATGCATGCTCCATCTCATCCTTCATAGATTTTAGGCAGATCAGAGCTTTTCAGTCATGTCATGTTTTATTTAGCTCTGCTTTCTCAGTTTATAGTATTCCAGACATGCTCAATTTAACTGTGAAAATGCATATAGATTGTTTACAGTCTAATCACCATGAACACCACAGTGGTGATTCAACAAATATGTTGGGTTAACTTTACTGTATGTTTGTACCTCACTTTGATACTGAACTTTCATAGTTTGTTGCTCAAGAAATATGACTGTCAACTCCTTAACTCTTTACTTTCCAGCACCCAAATTCCTTCTTTAGTGAAAATATTTTGAATAAGCCACCTCCTCTGCCCAGCCCTTCTCTCTTTGCTCTGTGTCCCAAATCTGTCCCTTAGCCCAACTGCTTCTGATGGTAGCCTCTGGAATCTTGCTCCATTCACTTCTCATAGATCCTTTATCCCTCTGCTTGCCTAGTATCCATCCCTCAGGTCCTAGCTCAGTATCACTTCCTCACAAAAACTTGCTTTCAACCACAAAAAAACTAAATTTCCTCATACCATTAATATTTCCTTATGGCCTATTTCCTTTCCTTTATGGAACTTACTATCATTTGTATTTGTATACTTTTTTTGTCTTTTTTGAGATAGGGTCTCTCTGCAGCCCCAGCTAGCCTGTAACTCACTATGGAGACCAGGTTGACCTTGATCTCATAGGGATCTGCCTGCCTCTGTCTCCAAAGTGCTGGGAGTATTTGTATACTCTTATACTTATTTATGTGTTTCTATGCGCACTGGATCTCATGCTTCATGGGGAAAGGGTCCATATAGCTCTTGAACCCAGGACTTAGATCATGACAATTACTACACATTCTTATCTTCTCTGCTTGTGCCTTTCAGACCTAACCCCTTTGGCCAGGTGTGGTGGTAAAGTTTGCAGTGTCAGAGCTCAAGATGCTAAGGATCACAAACTCCAGAACAGCCTGGGCTACATAGAAAAGTCTTAAATCTCAACATAAAAACCCAAACTAAACAGACCTAACGCCTCAGAAGCATATGCTATCCAACCATTTCTTTTATGGTCTGAATGTGAGTGTTCCCCATAGGCTCTGTACTGGGACTTTTTTGCCAACTGAAGAGTTTTAGGGAAGTGATTGGATCGTGAGGGCTCTGACTTCATAAATGGATAAACCCATTACATTGCTAACATTACTAGAAGGTGACAGAAATATTAGGAGTGGGTCCTGGTTGGAGGACGGTCACTGAGGTGTGCCTCTGAAGGACGTATGACGCCTGCCTTCTCTTTGCTCGTCTTCATTCTGCATACGATCCACAGGCAGGAGCAGCCCTGCTACATGATTTCTGCATCACCAGGGGTCCAGAAACAACACAACCAAGAACTACAAGCTGAAACTTCTGAATCTGTGAACCAAAGAAAGAACTAAAGTAATTGATTCCTCCTTTGAAGTTACTTTTCTCAGGTATTTGTCACAGCAACAAAAGGCCCAATAGTCTACCCTTTAGCATTAGGGTCTTCTACCAAGTTCCCCCCTCCATCTTAGTAAAGATTCTAGCCAGTGACTCGCCATCTCTGTCTATTAGCACTCCACCATCAGTTTTAGTGACTTCTACACAAATAACCTGCTCAATGCTCTGTTCGTAGTTCCCTGAAAACTTTTAAAAAATCTTTTCTTTCATTCAACTAAACTTTACCTTTACTTAGCCATATTTGGGGGTTTTCATTACCAACTAACACTTCCTAAACTGTGATTTTTAGGCAATCTACCCTCAGCCCATCATCTCCTTTTCAAGGGTCAGCAAGATGGCTCATCAGATAAAGGCACTTGCTGCCAAGTCTGACTACCTGATTGCAATCCCTAGAACCCACATGGTAGAAAGAAAGAACTAATTTCTGCATGTTGTCCCCTGACCTCAATACATGTGCTGTGTTGCATGGACACACACACACACACACACACACACACACACACAGTGTTTGTAATAAAAGATTTTTTTCCAGTTAATCTACTCTGCTGTTCTTCACTCTGGGTCTACAGAGGGACCCTGGACTACTGTTTTTGATATCCTGCCTTCTGTTTTCATTGTTCTGTTACCTAGCTCAGGTGCTGCCTTAATTTGGACCTTAAGTGCTCCCCAAAGTTCAATATGGGGAAGCCTCTCCCCAACTGGGAGACAGAAGAGCTTTCAGTAGGTGGAGTCCAGTGAAAGGTCTTTCAATCATTGGGGTACAACCTTGAGAAGGACTCCCCAACCCCTTCCTCTTTGCTCTTTTGTGTCCTGGCCATGAGGTGAGTGGTTATGTTCCACTGTGTATTTCTGCTCTAAAGTGCTACCTTGACACTGGCCCTCAAAACAAGTTGGTTAACTGATGATAGATAACAACCCCTGTATCAAACCACTGTGAGCCAAAATTAACCTTCTTCCTTTATGTTTGTCATCTCAGGTGTTACAGTAACAGAAAGCTGACTAACACAGGTCCCACGGTCCAAGACTAGCAGTAGCCCCTAGCATTCATGTGTTGCAAATGTCAGCTTCCTCAGTGATCTTCTATCTAGTCAGCTCATTCTCTTATTTGCTGATAGAGTGAAGGGAACTTCTAAAGTTCCCTTATCACTCAGTCTTCGGCTCACCTGTATCCGTACCCTCTACTTAGCTGCTCCTCTTTTCAGAGCACAAGCTCAGTCCCTGTTCCTACCTTAGACCCATCCCTCCACTTATAACCTGGGTCCTATCCCTTTGGTCTCCTCAGAACTTTGCTCTCACATCATCAAACTGTTCCGTTCCCTCCTGAAGCAGTCCTATTGCATAAAAATACAGTGTTGTTTCTCTCACCTAAACAAATATTTCCAGGCTACCCATTAGCTACTGCCCTGCTTGGCTCTCTTATAAGCAAACTTCCTTTAAAAGTTACTTATTCAGTATCCACAATCCACTGTTTTTTTTTCCAATCCACAATTTGTTTATTTTTGTGGCTTTGAGATAGAGTCTAAATATGTACCCAAGCTGATCTCAGATTTGGAATCTTCCTGCCTTAGCAGGATTATAGGCATACACCATCACACCTGGCTCACCTAATCACTCTTTAGATTGTATACAAGATTCCACTAAAACTATTCTTACTGAGCTTACCAATGACCTGAATCTTGTCAAATTCAATTTTTAATTCCTACTTGACCTTTTAGAACTCCTTCCTGAAGTGCTTTCTTCTCCACTGTGCCTCATTTTCCTGTTCTCCTCCACACCCTTTCTCAGTCTCCTTTGCTCCTTTTTCTCCTTCCAAAATCCTGGAGTACCCCCATAGTACCCCATATTCAATCTTAGCACATTTCTTTTTTCAGGTGTACCCACTCCTAAGGGATCTTGTCTTGTTCCAGTCTTTAAATACTGCTATATAATGATGGCTCCAAGTTTAGATCACCTTTGAACTGAAGCGTTCCATGTCTTAATTGCCTTGCCAATACTTCCCTTGAGTAGGCAAGCGAGCAATTCAAACTTAATATGACAAAACCAGAAATCTATTCTCCCAAGTCTTCAGCTGAGTAAATGACATGATTTCTGCAAACAGCTAAGATGCACACCAATTCCTGTTTTTCTCACTTCTACCTCTGTTCCATCTCTGAGTCCTGTTCATTCCGCCATCAACATATTTTCTGAATATGATCACTCTGTCTTCATGGCTTCCATTCTTGTCCAAGTTGCTTTGATCTTTCATCTGGTTATTGCAGCGGGTCTTGTGGTGGATACCACAACTAATGTCCAGGGTTTTGTGCAGTTATGTATGGTCATGTGACTAAGATCTCACCACCACGAAAATGTGAATAGTCACGGTGAGTATCTGGGCCAAGGACTTGAGAAGAATGTGTGCCTTCTTTCTGCACTTGCCCCATTTTCTCTGCCTGAAATCTGAATGTAAAACTCAGCTTTGACATCGCATATGGCAGGGTCTGAGGGGACTGCGAAGTCTTCAAATGGAAGAAGCCTGGTTCCCCAAGTCAGTGCAGGGAAGACAGCCTCCCACAGATTTGGAATACCCTTCTTAGATTGTTAATGCAAGTGAGAAATAACTTTCCGTTGTGTTTGAACTACTGTATTTTTGTTTATTTCATTAGAGCAATTTAGTTCATCCTAATCAATACACCTCCAAATTGGCCTTGAATCCCTCTCTTACTTCTATCTAATCCACTTCTCCCCAAGCCAAT